TGCGGGGGCTAGGAAAACAGGAGGCAGGGAGCAGATCATGGGAGCAGATAGTGTGGGGGGAATAGGACATGGGTACAGATGAGGCAGGATGCTAGAGAAGGGGGTCGATGGCATGGGGCGACAGGACTATGGGAGCAGATAGGGTGGGGGGCAGAACATGGAGGGGCAGGACCCTGGATGGTGGGAGAACTGGGGAAAGAGGAAGACCCCAGAGGCCAGATGAGTTGTAAGATAGATGGGGAGGCAGGAGTCAGATGGTCTAAGACACAGAAGGAAATTCAGAGTAAGGAAGATTAGAACAGAGGATTTAGGACATGGGGAAAAATTGCGGGGGCTGGGCTGGGCCCCAGGGGATGGGGCAACTGGGGGGGGGGCAGGTCATGGGGGCAGGAGAATTAGGGCAGGGAGTGCTACTTACCTGGTCATAGCCCACCCCAGGGGGCCCCTCATCCTCAGGTTTATCCAGGGAGAGGCCGCCAGGCCTTGGGCTCTCCTCAGTGTTTTAATAGCATGAACTGCAAAGAGCCGCAGGAGACACATTCTTCTTAGCATATGCACAACGTTCCTCAGATGGCACGTGACCAGGATTCATCACCAAATTTGGTCCGCTGGGTTGGACAGTTTGCCCGGGTCGGGTATTGACAAGGAGACATTGAAGAGCCATTTGTGGCTTGCGAGCCTCAGTCTGAGTATCACTGCCTTGGGGTCATACTTATTAACACTAACTACATTTTGCAGCATCTTCACTAAGGTCTACCACGATTGCTACTACTGGTGGAACTGAAAAGGTGTTAGCAACAGTCAGGAATGTTTGAAATCTTCTGTACATGTGGCCCATGTTTTGATTTTTAATGGATATAGCTGTTTGTTTAAAATTCGGGCTGTCAAGCGATAAAAAATTAATCGTGATAAACAATAATTTAATACCATTTATTTAAATATTTTTGAATGTTTTCTACATTTTCAAATATATTGATTTCAATTACAACACAGAATACAAAGTGTACAGTGCTCACTTTATATTTATTTTTATTACAAATATTTGCACTGTAAAAAACAAAAGAAATGGTATTTTTCAATTCACCTAATACAGGGGTTCTCAAACTGGGGATTGGGACCCCTCAGGGGGTTGCGAGGTTATTACATGTGGGTCATGAGCTGTAAGCCTCAACCCGAAGCCCCGCTTTGCATCCAGCATTTATACTGGTGTTAAATATATAAAAAAGTGTTTTTAATTTATAAGGGGGGTCACACTGAGAGGCTTGCTATGTGAAAGGGGTCACCAGTACAAAGGTTTGAGAACCACTGACCTAATACAAATACTATAGTGCAATCTCTGTATCATGAAAATTGAACTTACAAAGGTAGAATTATGTACAAAAAAACCCTGCATTCAAAAATAAAACAATGTAAAACTTTAGAGCCCGCAAGTCCACTCAGTCATATTTCTTGTTCAGCCAATTGCTCACACAAACAAGTTTGTTTATATTTGCAGGAGATAATCTTGCCCACTTCTTGTTTACAATGTCACCTGAAAGTGAGAACAGGCATTTGCATGGCACTGTTGTAGCCGGCATCGCAAGATATTTACGTGTCAGATGTGCTAAAGATTCATATGTCCCTTCATGCTTCAACCACCATTCCAGGGGACATCTGTCCATGCTGATGACGAGTTCTGCTCAATAACAATCCAAAGCAGTGTGGACCGACGCATGTTCATTTTCATTATCTGTGTCAGATGCCACCAGCAGAAGGTTGATTTTCTTTTTTGGTGGTTTGGGTTCTGCAGTTTCTGGATCAGAGTGTTGCTCTTTTAAGACTTCTGAAAGCATGCTCCACTCCTTGTCACTCTCAGATTTTGGAAGGCACTCAGATTCTTAAACCTTGAGTCGAATATTGTAGCTATGTTTAGAAATCTCACATTGGTACCTTATTTGCATTTTGTCAAATCTGCAGTGAAAGTGTTCTTAAAATAAACAACATGTGCTGGGTCATCATCCGAGATTGCTATAACATGAAATATATGGCAGAATGCGGGTAAAACAGAGCAGGGGACATACAATTCTCCCCCAAAGAGTTCAGTCACAAATTTAATTAACACATTTTTTTAACGAGCGTCATCAGCATGGAAGCATGTTCTCTGGAAATGGTGGCCGAAGCATGAAGGGATAGACGAATGTTTAGCATATCTGGCACATAAATACCTTGCAATGCTGGCTATAAAAGTGCCATGCAAATGCCTGTTCTCACTTTCTGGTGACATTGTAAATAAGAAGAGGGCAGCATTCTCTTCTGTAAATGTAAACAGACTTGTTTGGCTGAACAAGAAGTAGGACTGTGTGGACTTGTAGGCTCTGAAGTTTTACATTGTTTTGTTTTTGAGTACAGTTATGTCACACACAAAAATCTACTTTTGTAAATTGCACTTTCACAACAAAGAGATTGCACTACAGTACCTGTATGAGGTGAACTGAAAAATACTATTTCTTTTGATTATCATTTTTACAGTGCAAATATTTGTAATAAAAAATAATATACACTTTGATTTCAATTACAACACAGAATACAATGTATATGAAAATGTAGAAAAACGTCCAAAATATTTAATAAATTTTAAGTGGCATTCTATTGTTTAACTGTGTGATTAAAACTGCAATTAATCATGATCAATTTTTTTAATTGTGATTAATTTTTTTAGTTAACTGTGCGAGTTAACTGCGATTAATCGACAGCCCTATTTAAAATGCAATACAAATTAATTGTATGCAAAACTGTACATCAGCTGGTACTTAACTCAAATCACTGATAAACATTGGGAAGTGAATCATGGTAATTCTGTGATACCAACACTCAGCCCTAGAAAGATGGAAGCTAGGGAGGAGGAATATCACGTGCTTGTGCAGAACAGCACTGTGGCATACTCGTACTAAGTGCATGCACAATTGGAATGTTCCATGCACACACATGGACACTCTCTTCTGTGAGATGCTACTGGTTAACTACAGGGCTAGTTTAGTCACTTCATGTTGGCTATACCAGAACGGAGGACCCAGCACCAACATTTTATGTAGAGAGTTGGGGAATCAGTCCAATTAAGATAATTTTGTAAAATGGTTCCTAGAGAAACGCTTCTTTTAAGATTTTTTTGTTTTGTTTTGGCAGGTTTCAGTTGTAACTTGTTAATTCTGTAACCTACCAATAAAAGACAACTAAACAAATCTTTGAAAGTTTAAAAGAATAGTTTTCTTACCAAACAAATTGTGTGAAATCTTAGATTGCTTTCCCTATGTACCATATAAGAAGATGTTATATTAATCACTTATACCTTCACAACAGTGTTATTTTTAAACCTACCATCCAAGCAGAGCTAACATGTAGGGGCAAGATCAGCACAATACTATTATCAAAAAAGGGTGATGAGAGGAGTAATTCAGATGCTGTGATAGCATTGGGAGCACTAGTGCAGCAGAACTGTGAAAAAGGATGCTGCCTTAGCAATATATTATCAACCAATCCACTTTCCATATTACAAAATTTTATAACCCATTGGGAATGTTTTCATAAAGATATCCTCTAATTCATAAAAATAATCTCATTGTTTGTTATAAATGTTGGAGTTTATCATGGAACTTAAATAATAATCCTATAACCTTCTACGGTGCCTTTCATTTGAGGATCTCAAAGCATTTGAGGCATCAGTTTGGGTTCACTGTATATTTAACGTGGTGGTTTTTCTATTTAGAATTTTTGGCCTTAATTCTCAGTTCCTTTATTTCTGCACTTAGCATTCCTGCACCTTTGTGATCCCAGACTCTGAATCTGGGTTTTGCCAGCAAAGAGGAGCCATGAAGCTGGCAAAACCAGACACTTGAGGATCCCTCAGCAAAAGGGGATTTACCCAGTGGCATAGGGCCAGTGGAACAGCCCTACACTGCCCTTCTTTGCAGACCATGGCATAGGTGTGTTCTCAGGATCAACAGAGAGAGTGTCAGTGGTGGGAGGAGGCATGACTGGAGCATACCGTGGCCCAGCTTTTTAGGGCTGTTGCAAAAGTGAATATTAAAACCATCTGGCAGTGCTCTAATTTATGCCAGGAACTAGACCCGGATGGCTCCAGAATCCAGGATGTGCAGAGATGAATCAGGACTGGGAGTGAAGGTGGCATAGAACCATTCCATCAGTCCTGTGCTGGCTGCGAACTTGACCCAAGGGCCACTCCTACCCAGTTTAAGGCACCTTGATACATGCTGCTGGAGTGACAACAGAGGGCCATAGGGCAAATGAGAATCCCTTTGCTTGTTATTTGATTAGATGCCTATTGATAAGGTGTAAATTTATTCAATAAATAATTATGCCTAACATCACCCCTCTGAGGTAGGTGAGAACGATTACAGTCAGCAGGTGAATTTAGGCCCAGAGAGATGAAGTAATTGCCCATGGTCACAGACAAGGGTCCCAAGACTCCTCCTGACTCTCACAGCTGACAATTTTCGGAGGTGGGAACAAAAACTGTGCATGGTGATAACAAGTTACCTGGGGGTGCGACACTGGCACCTCATAGTGCCGCAGGATGCTGTTAAAAACCCTGCCCTGAACAATTAAATCGCCCTTCCCCTCGCCCTGCAGAGTCCCAAGCCCATGGCATTAAGCACTACCCAACCCCTCCCGGTGGGCTTTGTCTCCCCGCAGCACCCCCTAGCCTTAAGACACTGTGCTGCTGGCCCTCCGCCCAGAGGTCTGACACCCGTTTGCTGCGCTGACGACCACCCCTTGTAAAAGCACTGGGTGCGCGAGCCCCGCTCTCCCCCCTGAGCAGCACCGCCACTCGCTCGCTCGCCTGGGGGCCAGCCCTGGCCCTGCCTCTCCCAAGAGAAGGCTCCTCCCTCTCCCCCACTAGGGGCCGCCCAGATTTCAGGCACATGCGCAGAGGCGCAGTAAACAGGCGAGGCGCTCCTCCCCCTTACGGCCTTTGCGTGCCGCTCTCGGGTAGAGAGAGCGAGCGGTGGCGGCTGCGCAGTGGGGGCACATCCGGGCACTGGGGCAGGATGAATGCTCCTTTCCAAGATGGCGGCGGAGGGAGGAGGGAAGGAGATGAACGAGATTAAGACCCAGTTCACCACCCGGGAGGGGCTGTACAAGCTGCTGAGCCACTCGGAGTACAGCCGGCCCAACCGGGTGCCCTTCAACTCGCAGGGCTCCAACCCAGTCCGCGTCTCCTTCGTCAACGTCAACGACCAGAGCGGCAACGGCGACCGGCTCTGCTTCAATGTGGGCCGGGAGCTCTACTTCTACATCTACAAGGGGGTCCGCAAGGTACCGGGGCAGCCGGGGGGCGGGAGAGACCAGGGCCCCGACCTGCTCGGAGCACGAGGGGCGTGCCAGGGGCGAGCTGCTTGGCTTCAGTGTGATCCGGGAGCCCTACCTGCGAAGGCCGGGGAGCCGGAGGCCAGGCCAGGGGAGTGGGCTTTGCCCTACTGTGAGCTCAGCACTTTTCAGGGGGGCGGGATCCCTCTAGGCGAAGGGTGGAGGCCCTCCTAGGTGGAGTCGGTCTGTGGCCGGGAACTGTACCTGCTCACAGAGCCATGGGGCTTGCATGGTGTCGGACCGTGTGTGTGTGGGGTGGGGGGTGTGGGGGTAGGGTAGGGGTAGGTGGT